AAGGATTTAGCAGATGCAGCACTGAAAATGGATTTGAGGAAAGGTATTACCAGGAGCTTGGATGACATCACTGCAAGCTGAAAATGCGAGACACGTGGTCGTATCCTACTGTCAAAAGCTTGTTATGTCAATCATCTGAAATCACATGAGAGACAACCTAACTCTGTGTTACCTCCACGACCCGGTGATACTACATGTGCGATCTGCAAGGAAGTATGTGAATCGATATCTGGATTGAAAGGGCATATGGTGGTACACAAGGATGACCTACCACAGAAAAATCCGCTTAGCCCTGTGAAGACTCTGGAGCACAAATGTTATCGATGCCATAGGACTTGCAAATCAGCTGATGGTTTGAAGAACCACCTTCGAAATCATTCGAGATGAAACAATGATCTAAACTGAATGTAGGTGCTGATAAGCAAGACGGCAGTCATCTGTGAAGATGGAGCAATCAACAGATAGATAGATAGATAGATAGATAGATAGATAGATAGATAGATAGATAGAAGGGTATTTCTCTCTATCTCTCTCTCTCTCTCTCACTCACTCACTCTGTGTGTGTGTTTGATCATAGATAGATAGATAGATAGATAGATAGATAGATAGATAGATAGAAAAAAGAAAGAATAAACAGATAATAGATAGATTAGGAAGAGACTGAGATAGATAGATAGATAGATAGATAGATAGATAGATAGATAGATAGATAGATAGATCTGGAGTACAAATGTTATCGATGCCAAATCAGCTGATGGTTTGAAGATAGATAGATAGATAGATAGATAGATAGATAGAAGGGTATTTCTCTCTCTCTCTCTCTCTCTCTCTCTCTCTCTCTCTCACTGTGTGTGTGCGTGTGATTATAGATGCGAATGTGTCTATGTCTTTACGCACACAGTAAAAGAAAATATAAAAGCGAAGCAAAAAGAAAAAGGAAAGACAATTAATGGATTTGAGAAAGACAGAAATCGAAACAAGTGTGAAATCCATGACATTTTCCAACTGACAATATTCATTACCTGTGCAAGGGAGGCAACGACAAAATCCAGGGACAAGTTGTTAAACAAATCGCTCCTGCCCAAGTCTCCCAAGTATCGATCATTTCTAAGATTCATACGACACACGGAAACGATCGAAATGATAGGCTAATGAAGGTCGTAACCTCGCAGTGGCTTGTATCAGTAAATCATTTCGTTGTGTGTCTCTGCAAAGTTTGAGTCCCTTTCGTAAAATTGCAATGTCCGTGTCTAAACTTGTTGAGATAAGGCTGTATTTTCCGTGGAATGTCAACCTGTACGTTTCTAAAATGATGAATAATTTGTGTATATATTTTTCTCTCAGTTCATGCAATACAATGTTCAAAGATAACTGAAGAAGTAAGGCTATTGCAAAGGAGAGAAAGGGTTAAGCAATAAAATATTATGATGAAGTGTCAAATAGATATATCGGTTCACCGTAGACTTTTCTCAGAAGCTTCTCCACAATGCAAAAGTTCTGGGGAAGAAGCTGTATCAGTGAAACTTGTTCTTTATCAAAAGAAATTGAACTCCTTACGCTGATTCCGTTAGGCAAACAGATATGCTAAGTTTTCGATTATAACAGTTGATTCTTTCTCTAACCCAAGTTTACAGCTCAGTAAAGAAAAAACTGTCTTTTAACTTTCAGTATCAAAAAAGAAAGTTAGTATCGTTTCAGAATCAAAGTTCAGGTCCTTTTGTTTAAACTCCTCCCATGATGAACTGTAGAGTTCTCAATTAGTGTACATGATGTGAATGTCTGTAATATTTCAATGTATTGGTTTCTAACTCATCTATTCTCAAAAGCCCTTGTGTACCGATGGATTTATTGCCTTGCATGTGCTGAACATCTTTAAAAAAAGACCTCACTCATAATGAAGATAAAAGATCCATTGATAATGATGCTGAAAAAAATAATCGGCTGATTATATCTCTCGGGGAAGTAGCTGACCTTCCCGCCATTATTAATATTTACAAGAATCAGATTAGACCAAAATGGATTGCGTCCTGGGTATGACGATGAACTACATCCGGCAGCAATGTCTCTGATCGGGAAGTTTTGAGGAGCGTGGAATCACCACATAACTGCTGACCTGGGTATCACTTGTTAGGATCCCAGCTCTGGCTAATATTTAAACCACCAAACTGGGGTAAAAAAAACTATGAAAATATAAAAATACATTTTTATAGTAATCAAAAACATCAATACATTTTTGAAAACAAATATTACCAGCAATACATTTTTGGAAAAAAATACAATCTGATTGTCGACAAAGAACTTTACAAAATACATTAATGAAACTTGATCTACAAACTGATTCTTTACAAAGAATACATTTTTCTATTCCACGAACCTATCCTAAAAATCTTGGTGACGTTCATTGAGGTTGATATAACGTACAATAAAATAAACCAAAAAAAAAAAAAATTAGTATTGCTGCGATTTTTGGCCAAAAGCTGTTTAATTTTTACTTTCTAGCCTTGATAGAGTTGAAAATCATTTACGCGGTTTTTTTTGGGGGGTGTGGGTGACTATTCCCCAGTCTGCACACACTTTCCCACCGAAGAAACGTTGTAAACCTATTGATACTTCCATGGCAAATAATAACATTATCTTTTACAACTGAGACATGCTTTACTACTTCCACAGAGTTAAATCATTTCCTTCGTTCCTTCAAATGTAATTAGAAAGTTCTAACCAGCTTCTTCCTAAGAAGTACCTATTTGTAAAACTGATTCCCGCATAGAATTCTTCTCTAAATACTATTATCTTAATCTCTTTAAATCTGTTATATTCCGTTCTAAGGGAATAAATAAGTAACACCATGTGGATACTAGAAGAAAGGTTTATTGTACACAACCAGTACCATATGAAATACGGTACAGTTATAACACACAGGTCAATCTAGTAGTGAGTGCCACTAATTGGAAGGTCGGACGTGCTTCCGCCGTCTCGCTCACTCCTTCTCCTGTCTCTCGTAGACAGTAGAGTTTATAGGTACTTGCTACCTAGAGTGTAATCATTCATGGGGATGACTGGTTATTCCATTACATAAAAATCAAAAGTCAATCGTTATCTATTTTCTTTGTCCTAATCTTTCTACCAACTCCTCTTTCATTCATACATCACGGTTAATTAATCTTCTACCTTGAGGGATTCTCGAGCATTGTATTGGGTGAACATTAGAAGTCTAATTTCTGTAAGCAAGCATATTTACAAAACAAGTTTGTCTTTACGCAGCTTCATCCAAACTGTGTCGGACTTGCCGAGATGAAAAGCTCGATTGAAAAAAATAAGTTAGTTTTATGTGTTAATATTAACAATTAATCTTTTACATTTTCTTTGTTTTTTTATTATGTGATTTTTCTTGTTTCGTTTTGTTTTTGTTTTTTGTTTTTTTTAATATCAGAAAGAAGTCAAGTTTACGATTGGAAATAATGATAGTTATGATGAGAAAAGGGAATGTTAATGTCGTAAAGTATCAACCCGATATTCGAAATTTCCCTGAAGTCTAGAGACCCAGCACACGCCAGCCTCTGCCCATTAAGATGACTGATGTCCATCACCTCCCAAATCGATCGGCAAAACATTATCAGTTGTGTCTTCGGTCGGCTGGATCGGCCACGGTTGAACTCTGATTCGTCAAGGAAATCGCAAACATCGTTATTTGCAATGCGGTATCATTCCCTCGAGAAACGATAAATCGGTGTAATTGACAGGCCATGAATAGAAGTGATAGAAAAGTAAATGAGATTCAACGGTAAAGAGACGGACAGGAGGACGAATGTAGAAAGAAAAGGTGGAAGTCAGAGCAAAGATATTAAAAGGGGGGGGGGGAGACAACAAAGGACGAAAGGAAAATGTCGGCGAGGTTAGAAGTTTAATAAATAAAATGCGAGATGAAGAGCGGGAATTGAGAGGGAGGAAGGAAAAAAATGAAAGAAAATAGGTTAGAAGAAAAAAGATAAACAAACAAAGAAAGAGAGAGAGAGAAAAAGAATAAATAGGAATAATTAAAGTGATTAATTATAAGGCAACAAGAAAAAGGATAGACACAGATCAAGCAATAAAAAGAAACAAAAGAAGGATAAATGGGAATAATTAAAAGAAGAAAAATAGAAAGAAAGAAGGAAAGAAAGAATAAATGGGAAAATTAAAGAGAAGGAAGAAAGAAAGAAAGAAAGAAAGAAAGAAAGAAAGAAAGAAAGAAAGAAAGAAAGAAAGAAAGAAAGGGAGTAATTAAAGGAAGAAAGATATAAAGAATGAAAGAAAGAAAGGGAGTAAAGAAAGAAAGAAAGAAAGAAAGAAAGAAAGAAAGAAAGAAAGAAAGAAAGAAAGAGAGTAATTAAAGGAAGAAAGATATAAAGAAAAATAGAAAGAAAGAAGGAAAGAAAGAATAAATGGGAAAAATTAAAGAGAAGGAAGAAAGAATGAATGGGAAGAAAGAAAGAAAGAAAGAAAGAAAAAGAAAGAAAGAAAGAAAGAAAGAAAGAGAGTAATTAAAGGAAGAAAGGTATAAAGAAAGAATGAATGAAAGAAAGAATAAATGGGAATAATTAAAGAGAAGAGAAAGAAGGAAAGTATAAATGGGAATAAAGAAAGAAAGAAAGAAAGAATGAATGAATGAATGAAAGAAAGAAAGAATAAATGTGATTAATTAAAGAGAAGAAATAATATAAATAAAGAAGGAAGGAAAGAATGAATAAATGTGAGTAATTAAATAGAAGAAAAAACGAAAGGATAAATGGGAATAATTTGAGGGAATAAAGAAAGAAAGAATGGGAATAATGAAAGAGAAGAAAGAAAGAATAAATAGGAATAATTAAAGGGAAGAACGATAGAAAATAGAAAGAAAGAAAGAAATAATAAGTAGGAATAATTAAAGAAACAAACAAACAAACAAACAAACAAACAAACAAAGAATACATTTGAATAATTAGAAAGAAAGAAGGAAAGAAAGAAAGAATAAATGGGAATAATTAAAGAAAAGAATAATAAAAAGAAAGAAAGAAAGAATAAATGGGAATAATTAAAGAAAGAGAGAATAAATGGGAATAATTATAGGGAAGGGAAAGAAAGAAAGAAAGAAAGAAAGAAAGAAAGAAAGAAAGAAAGAAAGAAAGAAAGAAAGAAATGAAGGAGGAAAGAAGAAAGAAAGAATAAATGGGAATAACTAAAAAGAGGAGAAAGAACGAAAGAATAAATGGGAATATTAAAGAGAAGAAAGAAAGAAAGAAAGGAAGAAAGAAAGAAAGAAAGAATAAATGGGAATAATTAAAGAGAAGCCAAATCTACAAGAAAAAAAAAGACAGGTAAAACTGGAACAAAGAAAGAGAGAACCAAAAAAGGTTAAATGAGAATAATTTAAAAGAACACATAATGAAAGAATGAAAGAACAAATTGGAATAATTGAAGAGAAAAGCCGCTAGACGATAAAAGATAGGCAAAACTATAAATGAAAAACGTAACAAGATTTAACACTGAAAAAAGAAAGAAAGAAAGAAAAAAGTAAGAAAGAAGGGAAGAATTGGCCACGATAGATGTAAAAACTAAAAGAAATTAAGAAACAGGAGTCAACCCAGGCCGTGGAATGATAGCTGAGGCCAGAGAAAGAAGTGTACACAATCTCTAGACAATCATATCAACGGCATACTCAGAATTCTGGGTGTAAATTCTGGACAAAGCCAAGTGATACAAATTGGTACTTCCCAG